ACGCTGTCGAATGCCGTTGATCGCAAAACAGACCGGGAAGGTCTTTGACGTGAATCAAACCGCACAGCTCTATCTATCTCCCTTCTGTCATACTGAAGATGAAAAAAAAAGAAAAACTAATCATAGACACACATAGACATTATGTGACTACTCCTGGAAACAATATTTTTTTCTACCGTATAGTTGTCATATACTCAAGAAACATTTAATTAATTATCGTGTCATGCTCTATCATACATCAAATTTTAAATAAAAGAATATTACCATCTTATTTATATATATATATATACCTATATATATATATGAAAATGCTCGAATGTAAATACCAGACACTTTGTCCGGATTTTCATACAAGGTTGTTATAATCGCCAACGAGCAATGTACATAGGAAGAAAGTAATTAAATATTTTCAGGATTTTTACTAGCGTTCTTGTGCTCCGAGCGATGAAACGAAGTCAGACGAAAGACTCTCTTTCTCACTCTCTCTCTCTCTCTCTCTCTCTCTCTCTCTCTCTCTCTCCATTTCAAAGGGCGCGATTCAAGTGGTTAAAGGACGTTTATGTACGAATCGAACCATCGCATAATGTGTGTAATCATTATTCACGAGGACGAGGCGCCCACCTAGGGTGTTCGTGCAACTTATACGAAAAGTGTTCGCTCATCGTAGATACCATCATTCCTATATTGGTTAGGACATAAATATTAAATTAATTGTTTGTTTTTCTTGTATGTATTTAGGAGGATGTGCTTTTATAAAAAGTAAAACTTATCGTTTCTGTCTTCTCTACTCTCCTGGTTCCTTTGCTCTAGTTCGAAAGGCAGCAAAGTTACAACGAATAGAAACGTCTATAATTATAAGTTAGCCCCGCAATTATAATTTATACGTATATCATGAACTGCGTATTACTTAGTTGTACATGAAAAATTTTCATTATTTTCCTTTTTTTTTATACTATACAAATGTTGGTCCCGTTGATTTTGTAACCAGTATTGTTATTAAAGATAACATGTGTCCAATAAACATTGAGGATCCCACCTCGACTCGATCGACGAACTATTACCGATGGGTTAGAAAAAAATCTAGAATCTTCTTTTAAACATTTTTTTATTGTATGATACAAAGTGTGTCAGCCCTCGGCGAAAAGAAAAAACGTATTCACAATAATATATATGTACAAAACGATTCCCCCATCCGATTGTTGATCTTATTTATTGTCGTTGTAGAACAGGGTAGCGTATAACGGGCCTAATGTGTAAATATTGGCCAACAAAACTAAACGAAGTATTTCCGTGAACCGTACGTTCGGCATCGACGTGTCCGTGTCTCTCCAAGCAATGTTAACCCCTTCGCTGCGCGTGAACAGGGCTGGCGACGGGACATTTTCACGCATGTATGCCCACACACACTCCTTCATGATTGTATTTACCTGAAACAAGAAATATTGGTTCATACTGCGTTCTAGGAATCGTAAGCAAACATGATCATTAGTATAACTACCGACGAGGTATTGGGATCTGACATGCTGGCGGAACCTATGGGTACCTCATCAATATGGCGTCGACAAGCCACCGCTTTAGTTTACTTTTATAAGGGCAATATTAGTTTTGTATCGTTTATACCAATAAATATGTTAATTTCAATAGAGAACATTTTGGCAGGTACTAATCCAATTAACTCTTAATTGATATGCGAATTGGGGTGGCTTCCACAGCTCACGCTTTTCGCTTCCAGAAATCGCATGGCGAATGTCAGATCCCAATAAGAATAGACCCTTTCATCTTATGGGATTTCGTGGCCCACGTAACCTTAAAAAACCCCTGTGATTTTAGCGACCTTTACGTTATAAGAACGATAAATCTACGATAGGTAGTCACAATAAAGTGGAAATGGGGTAAACATAACCTAAGAAAAGTGGGCCGTAAAAATACATCTGATGAAATGTCTACTCCTATACCTCGTCTGTGGTACATTCAGGAGCGAACTCGGCTTCCGTTAGAGAAAAAAGCTGCGTAGGGGTAAGGACCTCCTATCACTTGGTAAATTTATTTTAAGTACTGAAATAAATATATTCTGCATAAATTTCAGTAACTGCCGAGATCAAGTGATAGAAGGTCCTTTCCTTACACCAATTTTTCCCCTAGCGGAAGCCGAGTTTGCTCGTGAGGGTGCAATTCTAGACAAAAGCACACCTGATGCGGTTCTAAAACCGGTAGAACGTCCCTTATACTCGCCAATGGCGGCGGTAGTAATTGACCAAGCGCCATGACATTGACCAGGGACACGCCTTCCTCCGTGTTCCAGTTGGCGATCACGGTCGCAGCGATGCCCCGCAATAAAACCGAACAATAAGCCAAAGCTGGTCTGTACCAGGCGGTCAGTTCCAACAGTGTCCATAATAATGGCACATCCTTGAACGTCCTACGGATTTGTAAATCCCTTTCTATGGTCACCTAACGGCCATTGAAACGGAACAATTAATTTGACCATTTTTACCACGGTATTATATTCGTTCAAGATTGTAAATACCTTTGTAAATTCTTCGTCAGGCCACGGCAGTCCATTGTACATGACGTCAGGTGATACTAGCTCGACCAAAAGTAAACTGACCATAGTTAAGGCATCCAGGTTCACAGGATATCGGTCCGTTTCTTTATTGCTGCAGCAAGCCTGCAACATTACAGTTTTAAACGATTTGCTCGGAGTAACTGTACGTTGAAAAAACGGTACCTTTATCACGTCCATCAGTAACGTTTTGTTCAGAGCAATAATTTCTTTGTCGACTGTGTTTTCAGGCGGTGGCTTCCGCGGACCGTGTCCAATCACTCCAGCATGAAACACGGAAGAATGTTTCTGTGCCAACATCGAACTGGTCACCTAAACAGAAAAAGCCAGTCCATAGACTCTCTTCTAAAAAGCTTCCTCTCATCTATTATATCGTACCTGTTTGTGGTTCTGATGCAAAAGTAACATTTCCTCGAACTTCGGTTCGAACTTCTCTTTGGCCCCGAAATACTTGGCAGGATCGTTGCTGATGCTGTGCCCCAAGATCTCCCTTAACGCCAGGACTCGAGCGCAAGGGGAGTAGCAGGTCAGGTTCTTCAGCAGATGACAGACGATTTTAATACCCTGCTGTTTCTTCTTTATGTCTAGAAACAAAAGAAACTTGGAAATGGATATCGCATGTGACCGCTAAATAATATGTACAGTGGACCCCGTCACAATATCCTCCATAACATTCATCCAGAGAATACAGTAAGAATGCAATGAAATTCGGTTGCTTGATATTTGAAAGTGAAGCCTTCCACTAGATTTTGTATTTTTTTACGTTTCGAATGTCTGAACGCAGATAAAATTTACACGAAAGATTTCACAAGAATACTTTTGTAATTATAGTTCCTTTATTTTATTTTATTCTATACCTTATTGCTCGAATATATACAGTTGACTCTTAACTATATTGCCATGATCGGGGCTGTAGAGGAGTAAAATGGCAATGAGTTCAGAGGCACCTCCATACTAACTTCTATCAACATAAGCTCAATTTGTGTGACGTGGTAATATAGCGAGAGTCCACTGTATTCGAAATTACCTTCTTCGGATATGCACAGAAAGAAATACTGTATCACAGCTCTGGTGATTTTCAGAGTGAGCTCGACGTTCGGCAGAAAATTGTCCTGTTCCGGGGCGCTGAATAGATCCAGCATTTTCGCGATGTCGTCGGCCAGATCAAAGTCGTACGTCTTCGTCAACAACGACGAGATCTGATGTAAATTCGACTTTATCGCTTGCGTGATCATCTTCGACCGGAAGATGGTCGCCTTGTTCGATCTTTCCCACCTGAATCATAGAGGAGAACGTTACGTGAATTCCGGTTAAACATACCACAAGAACACTCACTTCAACATTATGGTAAGATTCTGGAAAAGCTGCCTCCTGTCCTGTTTCTCCAGCACGTTCTTGTAATTTATCTCTCGGAGCGCTTGCTCGATAACCTGAGTGAAGTAGCCGTAACTGGCCAATATGGTTTCTGTTTCGGACTTGTTCGTAGGAAAGAGAACAACGTTGTTGCAAACGAGACGTATCAAGGCTGCCAGGTGAAACGCTGTTACAGACTTGGTCAGCATGTACGAGGCTGCTGATATCAGTATATTGGGGCTCTGGCTGCCGAGGAAGCACAAGAGTCTGACGGCCGTTTGGACCCGTAACGGGCTTTGATTCAAAAGTAACGGCAGTATCACTGGTAATTCCTGCTTGATCGAGCTCAGCAGAGCGATATTCGCGGACTGTGGCCCGTGTGTTCGCAATAAAAGGTCGATCTCTTGTAATACTAACTCTAGGATCTCGCTGCAAACGCTCTTCACACTTTGCGTAGCGTTCACGCTATGGTAGCCGACGTTGCTTGTGTTCAACGCAGTGTCTAGCAACAGAGTGATCATCTGCGAGGCGCCCTGCTCGCATCCCAAGACCAAATGTACCGTCAAGTCTATCAGAGCTTCCGGCTGGTTGTCGAAGTACTTGCACCAGTCCGTCGCGAATAACGCCAGCCGTGGTATTACGTTGGGTTTCAAGGTTTGCAACACGTCGCTGGTGATCGCTTTCAGAAGGGTCTGTGACAGCGAGGCCAGATTCAGAAGAAACGGAACGGTGGCCAGCTTATGTTTTTTCGTGTCCTCGTCGACGTTCGTGTCCTCGTTCAGACTCCACCTGAACAGGTCCAACAATGCGGCACGAATGTCTTGGAAATGACTACCGGCCAAATGACCCAGAATTCCCACAACTGAATTCAATTTTGGATTCTTGACGCTGTGCTCGTAGCCCACCGAACAGAAGTCCTTCAGTCCGCAGGACAGTACTCTGGTGATGACAGTGTTCGGGAAACAGCTTCCGACATGAGCAACCACCCAATCGAAGTGGGGACTGTGCAGGACACTGGTGTCCAGTAACGCCTTGATACAGGATTCCGTGTCGGAATGCATGAGACACTGGAGACATTGAGCCGTAATGTCTATGAGCGTACGAGTGGCACGGCAGGACATCCATTGCTGAAGGAAATCATTAATTCCAGCATTGATAGGTAAGCTGCCACGTTTTGCATAATCAGAGGATAGTTTACCTGCAACATAAGCTTGTTACTTTGTACACAGTTAGGCTGTAGATTGTTCAAAATGCTTGGGGTCGTCCCATACCTAGCAATTCCAAAGACCAGGCTGAAATGATTGGTGCCCAAGCCTCCGGGTTTCCATTGATGAAACCGCTCAGCACAGTGTGGATCTCTGCTATGATACTTTCCTCGCATATCGCCAAATTTTGGTTCGTCTACGAAAAGTCGATTTTCAGACTAATTAGAGTTCAAGGTTTAATTTGGTCACGGGTGAAAAGTATCTTATTATTGAACTTACTTCGATTTGACGAACATGCTTCGTGACTGCAACGTAAAATACGTTGCAAAAGTACTCGAGTACCGCGTCCCTTGCCGCGGGTACATTTCGAAGCAAAGACAATGCTGTTCGAGTGACGTCGAGGGTACTGGTGCTGTGGGTTGGTCTGACTGCTCCGGAAATAAATTTTCTGACCTCCGCTAAAATATCTTGCGGAGAAAGTGTTCCCGTTGAATGCAACATTTTATAATTTCGAACGATGGAAACGCAACATACTATTTCGAGAAATGCGGTCGCATGTTCTGTCGACCGTTTTGGGGTTAAATACAAGTTTTGCACTTTTCGTAATAGAATGCTATCATAGTGCGTATTATTTTCATGATAAATACTATTACTACAATTGTTTTTCTTTTATGTTGAGAATACTTGAAAAGATGAGGAAATATGTTTACAATGTAAAAGTGCAATGTGCGTTTTTATACCGTTTTCAAAGCGTTGTTCCATTTGTTTTGTGTAGACGGCAGCATAGTCAGCTACAATGTAGTTAATCAAACTAATTTATATTCAATTTCAAGCTATAATTTAAACTCAATAATTATGTTCCATATTTTGTCTTTAACCATGTTACGTTCTTTTTGTAGAACATTCATTCATTCCACCTTAAATATTCCACTCTAAAAGGAGTTAGAATTTCGTTAAGAAAAACATTAAAGAATTATATGAATTAAATTTATATGTCAGTTTCAAGAATCTATGTTACAACGTTACAATTAATTATAATTAATGGTAATAATAGTGTACTTCAATTTTTTAGGAAACATCGCCATCTACTATTAAAAAGATGATACTAATTAGCTAGTGACTTGAGCGATTTGCCGTAGATGGCACCAGGGGTCATCGAATTTGTGCGGGTTTTTTGTAGATCTTGCATATACCTATGCCAACGTTCAAAATATCAATTTCAGAAGATAGAGAAAGGGAAACATAATTTTGCAAGAATCAATTTTATTCAATGGTTGTATTATGAAGAACATTGCATTAAATGTTTCTGGAACATTAAGAATATTCACATGAAGATTAATACTTTTAATCTCCACTATGAAAATAGTTGTACAAAGTCAAGTATAAATACATCTATCATATACATTTCTCGGTAGATTAATAAATTATCGTGGAATACATTGCACAAATAATAATAATAATACCTAATGGCAGTCTTTTTTACATAGATTATTGTAGCATGTTCATTTTATCAGGGCAACAAAACGATTTATCGTCTTTTTTTCTTCTCTTGCTTCCTTGGTCGATGAGGTTTTCTGGGGGTAACCTGAGGACTGTTTTCTGAATATTCCACATCGCTTGGGTCGTCCTGCAACGAAACCAACCATCTCAATAGCTATATGTTATCGATAATAATAAGCAGCTATTTAATTACCTTTAATGCTGCAATGCCATCAGATGGGCCAGCTTGATAAACAACAATGGCCAATAAACATATAACTTGGAAGACTGCTCCAATATACAGGCCAAATCGTAGTAACTGTTCAAATAATGTTTCTTCTGCCGGAAGTAGAAGCCGTTTTAATTGTGGATCAGTGTCTGCCATCTCTAAACACAAAAAACTATATATACTCTATTAGATATTTCTCAACAGAACATATTTAATATTTTTATGGTTAATGAAATACATAAAAAATTTTAATCTGTCTGTAAACTGAATATTTTTCATATTCATATATTAGATTGTGAAAGAGACTAGGTTTCTTCATTGTTTTGTCGTATTCAAACGTTTAGAATGAGTTTCTTTCAAGAAATATTCCCTATCTTCGTATTACCATTGTCACAGGTCATTGAATTTATTTTTTCATCCTGTATAAGGGCACCGAAAAAAAATATGTTCGATTCTATTTGCAGAAATATCGTTGACCTTGATATCTCGTCAAAATGGCCTTCAGGGAACGTTTATTTTTGTTAATTTGTTTGCCTCTTTGAACAGTTTAATTTTGCCTTAAATAGTTCCGTTTTCATGTATCTACGAACAGTAGAGGTATTCAGGCATTTCGATTTAAATGCCTCACCCCTGGTATATTTCCGTTTAAGAGGAGAATTTTTTAGTTCTTTGATCGGTATACCTGTTGTTCAACAGTCACTCGTCACCCTTCAAAACATTTTTCGTTTTCCCGAAGCATGTCAGGTGGTTGGAAATCAATAACCTAAGCAACAGCTATCGTGGAAGTTTCGCACCGTACGAACGCAACAAATACTGCCAACTTTCTCGACTTTCCTGTCGATAATTATTTGAACGTAAGCCTGCGCGTTATCGAAATAAACTTTTATTCAAATAAACTTTTCAGCTTCTTTGTCATCCACACCGTTCTGTTATCTTTGTAAATATTAGTTTACTACTAGTGCATCCTACAGGTAGATTACGTTTGTTATTCGTCCGTTCGTTATCTTGTTTGACATTCGGCTTCTGCAGAAAAAAAACTATTCTTGTATCCGTAGAAGTCTTGAGTAAAAGGCATAGATTTCTGAGAATCTATCATAGGTTTACTATTATAAATAGGAATATAATTATTATTATCATTTGTATAAAGATGTATTTAGATGCCTTTATTTATTATTGTTACATCGAATAAAAAGTGTTTCTTCCTGTTTGAACAAGGGTGGGGCTTGTATTCGAATAATATACTTGAAAAATTATTATTTCAGTACATTATCTTCTTTGGTATGTTAAATAATTTATGCTAAGCTCTGGTTCAAACGTCAATCAGTTCGATCAACCTATCAAACCTCTACAATTCACATTTAACGAAATTCAGTCGGACCAAACGAAACTCGATTGGTTCGTTGAAGATCGCATTCTTTTCTAACCGATGCAAAGTAAATCTGTTTAGTCTCTATTCTTCTTTCTTTCTTTTTTTTCTTGCAAAGTCAAGCGAACAGAAAGTGATGCATTTGTTTCGCCTCTCTTGAAGTTGGCAACAGACGATTCGTTCATGTATCTCACGTCTGATGGCGTCGTGGAATAGGGGGTCGACATATACGCCGACTGTCGGCGAGGCTGGACATTAATAAACCACAAATTAACGAGGCAGAAAGTTCGTCTGCCGTCGTTTCTTGTGAGTGTAAAGCGACAGAATAATCACGAGATAATCGTACAGGTGTAATTGATCCCGTGAAATCATCTAAATGACGTGAATTCGTACGGAATTGCATGTTACAATTTCGAAAAATTGAAAATGGCGGGTCGACGACAGCGCCGTAGCCGTCTGGGTTCGAGGCTTGATCGTTCGCGAGTCCGTGGATGTGAACCTTTGTTTTGTACAGAAGAATGGCTGCCATCTTTAGTTTTCGATGGATGTTTTCCGAAGGGATCGTGAATTCTCGTATTTACTGTGGTATTTAATCACGTAATAAAATCTCGAACAGTGGAATAACGTTGTTCGCGATGTAAACAGTGTTTTCTCGTTTGTTATTCAAGCTGCCCTGCTGTCAGTTCCGTGAAAAAATGCTTGTGTTTACATCCAAGTTTAAAGAGAGCCTCCGTATTCCTGTCATATTAAGGTAAGCGACGCATTTTTACTCGGTTTTCACGCACGAAACGATCCAGGGATCGCGATCGCAGTCGACAACGATGAAAAATCATGCGAATTGTCACAGGAAACGCATCTGCAACGATACATTCTGTTCGTATTATGAATCCGTTTCTGACGTTCGAACAATCTCGTACGCTGTGTTTTTTTTCGATGAATTGTCATCGAAAACGCGAGACGACCCGTTTCTCGGGACTAATTCCGCGGTTTCGTTGACGTTAGCATCGAGACGAGACGTCGTTAATTATTTCGACTTAACCAAAAAAAAAAAATTTCGTTCTACGACTTCGAACGAAATCGATTTCTTCGTGTCTTGAGTTAATTGCTTTCTACTCGTATTTTCTCTTTGTTGTTTGTTATTACGATCCCTGAAACGAAAACGAATGTTTGAAAGACAGATCTGTTGATGCGATTTTCGTGTCCGAATGGTGGCAACAATGGCTGGTAAAATGGTGAGTGAGTACAGGTCAACCACATCATACACATATACCATCTCATCTGTGAAATTAACATAGTTGTTAACTTCCAGTCGATCTTTAAACGTTCTCCACTTTTTTACTCCATCTGTATTTTTCTCTCATATTTATTATACTTGTTTATTGACCCCTTGGTGTCAATACTCTCATTCCATACGTGTCGACTGTACAGTCTGATCACGTGCCACTTCTATTCAAATTTATTTTACCTAACCAATCGACTTTTGGTTTCATTTGCGCATGGAATATTCTACTATGACTCATGCTTCTTACCGCAAGTTGATACAATACATTAATGTTTGCAGGAGAACGTTCAGGTGTATGAATTATGACAAGACAAGGTTCTGGCCAGTTACCATTTTACTTTGCCAATTTTGTAGTAAAGATTAGAGCTAAGTTTAATGACCACTTTGTTCGTACGATATCTTTACAACTACTATATACTATTAGCGTATCTTAACCCGTAGAGTAAGAGCTGTATTGACAAGTACTAACAATTGATCGAACAGTTTTCCAGAAGTTATTCTATCAAGCAATCCAATATCTTCTATTAACCCTTGCACCACCAAAATTTTAGGCATTTTGAAGTGATCGAATTGACCCTATGATGATCACATATGAATTTCTTTAGAAAGACCAGTTAACCTGTATTTAAAAAAACGTCAAATTCAGACAGAAATAGTTCCAGATTTGAGATAGAGGATAGTTCCTATGACGTAATGAAGACAGCACAGCAGTGAAATAATGGAATGTTTTCAAAATACTGTTGATTGTTGTGGAAGGTTCTACAAAAATTTGTTTAAACCACGCCTTTGACATTCCCTTGAACCCAAGTATAGGATATAATAATTCGGGTATTCAGGTTTGCAGGAAAATTCAAGATATATTTAATATTATACAGAAGCACAGTATACAGATACATTGCAAAATAATTTCACAGGCGGGAATAGAAAAAAATCTGCTAGGCGGCGCTGGACTCTTTCTCGTGCCGCCATATTGCTTGCTCTGTTGCTCTCTCGTTCCCCGTGGTCCTCCCTCCTTCCGTCCACTTTCGTCGACTTCTCTCTCTCTTGTTCACCTTTTTCTTGATCCTTTCGCGATCCCTACCAATACTGCTTGTGTGTGTGTGTGTCTCTCCTATTTTCTCTTGCCGCCCCCTCTTCCGCGAAACCACTCCGCGCCGTTCCTCTTTCCTGTCACGCTAAATTCTCCTCTCTTGCATGTCTCTTGTAGCTTACTAGGGAACTTCGATACATCGGGAATTCCGATTTTTTAAAAACTCTGCAGATTTGCAGGGGAGCTCGATAGAAGCATTTGGTAATTTTTCGTTCATCATGGTGAACCCACCCCCTAAATATTGATGTTCTTTCCTATTTTTCTGTATATCTTGAAAACTATCGTAGATGTCACAAAACTGTTGAAATAAAAATTTAATTGTTCTGTATACTCTACAGGAGTGTGCAATGACATTATTAAAATTTTGTTTTTTTTAAGTAAACAAATAAATAAAGAAACAAATTTTCAACCATTTCGTTACATATCTTTGCAGAGCATAAGAATCCATTAAACTTTCATTGCAACAGTTTTTTAATATCGTCTACAATTTTCCAGATATACACGAAAATAGGAAGAGACACGTTGACTTTTAAGGGATGGTTTCACCCTCTAGAATCGAGTATCAGCAAAAACGCAAAAATTGCCCGATGCTTCTATCGAGGTCCTCTACAAACCTGCGCAGTTTAACAAAAAATCGGTGTACAAAAGTTCCCTTGTTGGGAATAGGTTATAGATTCGTCGATTCCACGTTTCTAGACTATAGAAACATTCTTCGCAAATACGTAGAAGTTCGTGTAAAATAATGTATTATTGGAACAATCAGCTGAGATGGATTTCAATCGTGCGTAGTACGTCCTCCCGCGGCCGGAAACGGAAGCGTTCTCTGACGTTTCGGACGAAATCTGATCTAGATAAGGAGAGAAACTCGTTACGGCAGATTAGCGGCGCCCGTTCAAGAGGGATCGATGAGAAATCGTGTTACTAATCGGGGGATTAATTATCGGGCATTCGCCCGTCGTTCCAGCAGATCGAATTGTATCGATCCGCCGTGCATTAACTCGCCGCGTCATGCACACGTTACGCACAGATTAGTTAGTCTCTAGTTTGTCCACCCTGTGGGTAAATTCAGCATCCCACTAATGGCGTCTAAACATGCGACCAATTCACCACGGGACTGACTATTGTGCCCGTTTCACAAGAGAACTTCGCTACCACGAAGGTTTTGATTTTTTTTTAAAACTCCATAGGTTTATAGGAAACCTCAATAGAAGCATCGGGCAATTATTCGTTCTTCTGGGTGAAACCACCCCCTTAAATGTTGAGATGTCCTTTTCTATTTTTTTGTATATCTTGAAAACTATAGTAGATGTCATAAAACTGTTTGAATGAAAGTTTAATGGATTCTTATGCTCTGCAAACATATGTAATGAAATTGTTCAAAATTTGTTTATTTATTTATTTGTTTATTTAAAAAACAAATATTTAACTATTTTATTATTCACTTCTATAGAGAATGAAGAGCCATTAAATTTTTATTGCAACAGTTTTATGACATCTACTATAGTTTTTGAGATATACAAAAAAATAGAAAAGGACATCTCAACATTTAAGGGGGTGGTTTCACCCAGAAGAACGAATAATTGCCCGATGCTTCTATTGAGCTCCCTAACAAATCTACATAGTTTTTCAAAAAAGAGAAGTGGGAATCTTCGTGATACCGAAGTTCCCTTGCTAGTTTATGTATTTCATTCACGGATTATCAGTCCATGACATTTCTCCCGAGTCTACGGACAGTGTTACGATTTCAAGCTTCATAAACGTCCATCGCTTCTCGAGTATGTATCCATAAATCTTGGAGAGCCAACGGTCTCTCTTGGCCGGATCAAGCCACTTCCATGTAAAGTTGCTCGAAGTGCTTCTTGTAAAGTCAAATCTGGCCCCGGTCGGTGTGTGTAGGGGTGTGTAGATGTTCGGTGGGTGGTTACCAGTGGTGCTGCAACCAGCCTTTTTCTTCGCCCTACAAGTATCAATCGATCGGTCACATCGTCCCCGTTATCGCCCTATTTGTCACTCGATCTGAAGGAGAACAAGGTATAAGAAATCATAAAACAAACGAGTGGATCGTTATCTATATATTTGTCTTTTTTTTTTTA